TTATTAATTAATACACAATCTATACGCAATCGGTACAATAAGAGTATGAGCTAATGACAATGACAATATAATGACATCTTGAATGAAGAAGCCACCCACCGATGACACTTRCGTTAAATACATAGATATAGAAATGTATGTTTGTTTATACTCAATAACTATAAGTACTGGTGACTGGTCAGTTTTCAATAAAAATTATATTACCTAGATAATAGATTCCTTATCGAGACTACGAGGGGACTTTTATTTTATTTTGTCCACCACTATAKGTTGTTAAAGAGTAGTTTACTCACAAAACACATAATCGTGTTGGATAAATTACTTTTKAAGAGTACCTAATACATTTACGTTACTCCTMAAATTAAATATTTTTATTTAAAATACGTTGGCGTACTCCGACATTATTTTTAACACGTCACGTTACTCTTCCATTCAAACCGTAAGGCGTTACAAATAACGTTACTTTTATAAAAATTAACAGTTTACACAACGACTATGTGGTCTATATGGATTAATAAGYAGTAGGTAAACTATTATATAAATTGTATAGTTAAACGTATATCATTGATGATGTAGGTACATTATTATTAACGACTAAACGTTACATCATTGATTTGATAATACGCTATAAATACGTTATATAAAATCAATAGTTATACATAAATATACATAGWWATTTAATTCCTCAAACTTCCGGAATTATGAACTCGTAAATAAATTTAGTGTAATTGATTTTTAATTTTTCTCCAGTATCCTAGCCACTAGGTTTTGTCATAAATACTACATTCTTAACTTATTTAAATAACGTGAAAAATAATAAGTTACTCCATAGAAATTAATTCAAAAAAGTAATTTCGCTAATTTAAGTAAAATAAAAATTACTACAACGTTACCACAAAAGTTATTTCGTTTTAGTGATTTGTAATTTGCGTTATACGTTACTATCCAACACTGCTCACACATGTATTTATTTGAGGCTCAATATTTTGGTGAATGTTTAAATGCTTAAGTTAACATTATATATTACTCTTCTTTTCCTTCGCCTTCTCTCCCAACTATTTGGGGTCGGCCACCCGGGCCCTAAATTTCCATTAACTAAGTCACACATTATATTACTATCATTTAAAAAATTAGTAGAAATACGACAGTAAATATTATGTATTTATGAGTATATTAAAAAAAATAGCAAATAATAAAATCAATTCTTATAATATGAACTTAATAATTATGATGAATATAAATTTATGATTTGCTTTCTTAATTTTAGACATAGTTTTTAAGTAAAACATGAAAATTAAAGATGAATACCAATCTTAACGATGTTGGGTTTACATCAGAGTTAGGTATTCGTTGAGTTTATATCCATTTTTCGTGTTTACATAAAAAACATAATATCCAGAACTAAATGGAAAATCATAAAATTAATCATTTTAATTGTGTTTGAATTATATGTTTCATTGTTTCGATTGAAACAAAACGGTCAAAGATAGAGTTATTTTAACCAGAGTAAAGTCGGGTAATTCAATAAGTAATAATAAATAAAATGAAATAAAAACCTTTATAACACCGTTGTATTTTTCATTGCCGATACAGATACCAAAAAATTTAAATTGCAAAGAATTATCTTCGTTTTGCTGATGTATCCAAGATTATTTTTTTTCAGAATTGTTTAGTATAATGATACGTCGTTTATTTCAATTTTGAGTAAGTACCACCTCTTTACAAAAACTGTAAAGTCGTTATTCATTTACCTTCGCGGCTTCGCATAAATCAACTGACCATACATTATACAATACCTACTACCTATACAATGAATTGTTGATTTTACTAACAATTTAAACATTGCCACAGTGTATTAGAGATGAAGTAGTCAAGTATACTAAGTAGACGTATAATTATTTACTGAGGGCGTATACAATTTACACTCGTTTTAAAATATTAAATATGTTCAGATTACGTGGAAAAATATGCACACACAAGGCAATTATTTTTATTACTTTTTTAATTTTTGTAATAAAAACGGTGATTTCGTTTTTAAATTAAATACAATAAAAACAAAACAGAATATTCAAAAACATATTTACAGTAGACTTGAGTAAAATCGTACGCCAAAGAGTTAGTGAGTTTTTACATGTTCGAAATCAACCGGCTCTAAATTGTCTAAACTAAACGAGTGTTCGTTCAATAACGTGACCAACGAATCCACTGGCCTGTTCAAGTGGGAATCGAACTTTTCTCCAACGCTCCAAATTGTCTCCAAGTCGAAGTTCTTCCTAGTGTCTTTTGTCAACAAGTGTACAGCTATATTACCTGAAAAGAAGATAATAAACATTATTAAGAATACTCAATATAATGGAATAGATAATTAACAATACATTTCACAATAATGTCGATTTTATCCATACTAAAAAAACAACATTTCATCATATTTTTTTTAAATTTTGAATGTTATATATATATATATATTATGCATATTTAATACATTTTTTTAAATCAATGGCTGATTTAAAATTGTCCTGGTTTGAGTCATCAAAAGCATATGATACAATTAAAAACTGAGGTTGTTTTCTCAGTATATTAATGTCGGATGGTGGATATATTCCCTCCGGCTATTTTCGGCATAGTAAGACATTTTGCCCCCGTAAATTTTTTGATGCGGATATTCCCCCCATATTAAAAAACAATTTCAAATAAGTAGGTATTATAATAATAACAATATATTTTGCGAAATAACCATTGCAATTATTATAGTACCTAGTTGATAACACATTAAGAAAAAATAAAAATAGGGTTAAAAATATGTGTTTAGAGATAACTAAAGAATCGGACATTAAAGAGTTTTTACAAAATGTTTCATATTATGTCGCAATTTCTAGTTATTTTTTACTATTAGATACCAATAATGTTTTAAACATTATTAATACTTTTAATATTTGTATTAATATTATGTATTTTATAATTATATTTACTGATATTTAATGATAATTTGAAAATGTAAATAATTAAATTAATTACACATTAAGAAAAGATAAAAATAATAATTGCATATATTTTATTATATTAATATACTAATTATATAGGTATATTGAAATAAAAATATGCAGGGAAAATGTCCGCATCAAAAAATTTACGTGTGGAAAATGTCCAATTATGTCGAAATTGTTCAATTACCATTATAGTCATATAGGTAAACCAAATAATATTATTAGATAATATGTAATTTTATTTTTTTTACAAAAATCAATACAAGATAATAAATACATACATATAAAATACAATGAATAATTATTTTTATAGAATTATAAAACTAATATAGAGTTGATGGAATCTTAAGTTATTATTTAAAGCCATCATTCTATGTAATAGTTGATCTGTCAAATAATTGGTGTTGCAAATAGGTAAAGAAAACAAATGTCTGTGGTGGACATTACAATTTGAAACTTTAAAGTAAAATTGTGTTGATG